CAATTTCAATAACTAATTTTAAACCCCCTTCAGTTTGCATTTCCGCATCAGCTATTTTCTGAAAGATAGCCAGGTTCTCATTTACCAGTAACCACTAAAACAATGTTAATTTGCAACTTAATGTAACTTTTATATCAAATATTAGTGGCCTTTTTTGCCATTCAGATGGGAAGGCGACATATTTCAGTGATCGTGCTTATTCTAAAATACATACATTTTTAGCAGAAAATAATGGGGAGTGATTCTAATTTTCTAACATAAAACCCTGTCAGAATTGGAACCCAAATACCTGTAAACTGCATTTGGTCAGAAACAGAAATAGAATAAAATACATCAGAAAGCTGAAGGGTGTTGTTCTGGTTACATTGTACCAACTTAAATAAGGTTTCTGACCAGCAACAGGAGCTTTCAGGCTTTCACATACCTGCTAGCACTCTAAAATTTGGAGCCATAAGCAGCTGGAACCAGGGAGGTTTTGTTTCCCTTATCAGTATTTGTGCCCCTGACCCTGCCTGGGAACCCTTATTTCCCTTCAATCTACAAAGAAAGTAAATAAAATTAATGAATCAAAACAGTGGCAGATGACTGTACAGGTATAACATAGCATCTCAAAGAAATACAGCTCTTGTAATACCTCTCTTTCTAGTTTTGAAGGCCCTCATGACATCTGCACCATGGGGGACATGAAGCAGGGCACCACACACCCATCATTACCTGGAAATCAGCCCTTGGGTCCTTGAGGCTAAGGGAGATTTAACAGAGCTCTATCAAACACAGCACCATTTCTGGGTGTTTCAGTAACTCCAATGCACCTAAGGAACACCAACAAAACTGAGTATCTGCTCTGCAGATAGCAGACAGCTACAAACACAGTTCAAGCTGGAAAAAGCCATCTCCAACCAACAAAAGCACATCTGCTTTTGCATATTGGGTAGCAAGATCCAACACATTCTGTTATCTACCAGGATAAATCTCCAAGTTGAGAGACATGCTTCTATGTTTCACCGCAAGAAAAAGCATCTCAGGGACTCTTTGGAAAGCCTTAATGTGGTAAACATGAAAATTAAAAAGTCACTTGGCATTCAGGGATGGAGCAACTCCTGTGCTCTGAGGAAGCAAACCATTTGGGTGAGCTTTCTTGATGGCTCTGAACTCTGTCACACTGTCATCCAAACTTTTGTCCAGCAAGTCCCCACACGCTCGAAGATGATGTCCCACCCCAGCTCAAAGATTTCCACTCCCAATGGTCGAGGCGAGTTGGCTGTGCTTTCAGAGGCATGCAAGGAGAGCTGCCATGTTACAGAGCGTGACTCTGCTCGAGATCACACTTGTCTATCAAGTGAGTGAGCTCTGGGAAAATGAAAAGGAGGAACCCACAACTGGAATTGCCAGAGGCCAAGGCTGGCACAGAAGATGACACAGGCTGTGGGTGTTGTGTGGCCTGGGAGAGCCAGCCTGGCTCCAACCCCTGCCACAGCACAAGCCTAAGGCCAAGCCGAGCCAAGAGGAGTTCAAAGGCAGGAAACCCATTCTGAAGGCACAAGGTTTTGACCAGTCCTGAATCAAGCACTAATCCAGTTAATGCCGGGAACTGGACTCGTATTGCCAGGTACTCAGGCTGATTCACCAGAGACTGGGCATACTATGTCCATACTAAGCCCAAGGGAACGGGTGAACAGCTGAAGTGAGACTCACTGATTTTAATCCATCACTTCCCCTCCCCAGACACGTATCTGAACAAAGCAATCAGCATGGGCAAAGTATTTGAAAGAGGCCTGGCTCCTGCTGACAACCCAAGAAGCATTATACTGAAGGACCTACACAGACTTTACACAGAACATAAAAACTGCCCATTAAATACTCCTGTGGCGATCCAAAAATACACATTTTGCAAATTCAGAGGCTTATGCAAAGATCCCCTTGATAACAAGCCAGAGTGTGCTTGCCAAAAATCAACAATGTAAATTTTCCAGATAAAGGAAATGTGACACCTCAAGCCCCAGATTGCCTGCCGTTTCCATTCTGGTTTGGGTTTCAGAGAATAACCATGGTGGAGCCTTCTCCTCTTGAGCCAGAAAAAATGACTGGGGCTCGCTCCCCTGAGTCCAGCAATTCTCTCCCTTCAAAGGGTGCCGGAGTGTGTGAGTAGCTACCAACATGCCAAACCACACTGGCTGGGTCTCACTGACGGACTCCAAAATTAGTGTGGCCAGCAGGACAGAACACCAAGCACTGAAGTGAGCTAGCTGAGTGCCAAAAGGAGGAAAGGGCCAGGGGTATAACCAAAGAGAGAAGGGACAATGACACTCAGGTGCTGACCAGGGTTCTGGGAGTCAGTAGAAATAGATGAGGCCAATACATTGTGGCAACGGAAATCATATGGTTTGGGATTTTTTTCCGTATGTATTACAGTAATAAAAATACAAAGGTGGAAACAGCAATGGAAGCTTCATTTCATAGCAATAGGAACCAAATATTACAACAGAAGGCTGTTGACTGTGCCCAATACTGTCTGGAGACCATGCAAAGAATGGCATCTGCCAACTAAGAGGCATGTTTTCCCCTTCAGAATCCAACAGCTGCTCATCTTTGTTCTTCAGAGTCCATGTAATGGTCCACATCTATCTCCTGTAGCCTTTGCTGCTAGAGACATGAAGAGCATGACAGTGAAGCAAAAACCTTGAGTTTCACCTACAAGGCAAAGTTAACATGCCACCTGCTTCACCGTAGGTTGATGATGCTGCTGGAGAAAACAGGTGGCCAACAGATTTGTCACACTGGCTAGGAATTAAATCATCACCAGTGTAGCATGCCCAAATAAATGTCCCATAGTTGGGTTCTTGGCTCAGCAAACCCTTCCAAGAGGACTTACTAAGGGTATGTGATCCCTGTGAAGCAAGTCAAGAGAAAACGAGCTTTATTCTCTACAAAGGAAAATGTTGCTCTCTGCTTCAATGCTTCCCCTGTGTGAGAATTAGAACCAAAAATCATAGGAAAAGCAGATCTACAAACCAGCTTAATATAGTGGTTTTGTCAGGGATCTTGTTACCAAAACTCTCTCCCTCAGATGACCTATTGGTCACGGGGAGAAGGCTCCATGTTTTATCTGGGCTTTTTCTAGCCTGGGAGCTAAGCCTGGTAACGTTAGCTTTTGTACTTTAGTGGCCCAGTGATTACATCCACGTGCAGCACAAAGAATCTTCCCAAAGGTATGGGCAGGATAACAGGATACACTGACTCCAGTAAACTGCCGAGCATATTTATCCGTAACAAGAGCTCGAACAGGTAGAATTTCTCTGCTTGCTGACACAGAGGCTATAAAGAGAAGAAAAAGTCTTTAAGGTAGCAAAACATATTTCTCTGAGTACACGGCACCAGCAAACACTGCCAGTGGCTAGTGTGCCTCATCCTCTGAAAAAGGTGTTTATAGCTAAGCTGTGCTGATGACAGTGATGGATTACACCACACCAATGGTCGCCCAGTAGAAGAAAGAGAGCATGGATGCTCCTGAAAAGGTCAGGAATAGCAAAGGGGATCCCACAAAGAACCCTTTCTGGAGAACAGTGAGAATAAGGTCTAGCCATGCCAGGGTCCTGCTATACCCACTAAAGCTTGAATGGGGACTTCTTTAGAACTACGCATTTCCCTACCTGACAATGAAAATGGCACAGCGCTGACACAGACCTCACCATTCCATACAACCACTGAGAGAAGGGCCGCACCATTCCAAGGCAGGGTGCAAATTCCCAGAGAGCAGAAGTATTGGGGGAGGGAAAAAAAAAAAAACCAAGCAAAAAAAAAAAAAAAAGAAAATAACCCAAAAAAGAAGAAATAAAAATAAGCCAGGTATGACAAACATGCCACATGAAGAGTCCTCTGGAGTATGGAAGCACACGTGGAGCACATTTCTTGCAAGACCTGAAAGGGATCACACTCTATCTCTGTTATACTGATAAGGAAAAGTTACTCACTGTTGCCTATAAAACAAATGAGCAGATGGATGATCAGGTAAAGAACACTGAATGCTCACAAAAAAAGTACATAAGAGTATTTTCTCTTTTAAAGAAGCGAACAAGGACTCTATAACAACTGGTTGTTTCTGGTCACCGAGACCTTCAGAAGTTGTCTCCTCTTCCATCTCTCCTACACATAAATTAAAAAGGGAAAATGAATTATGCAATCTTTTCCACTGTCAATCAGTTCCTCAGCCTTGAATTAACCAGATATTGATTTACACCAAAGGAATAAAATGATGTGAGGAAAACAGTTGCTCAGAAATGGTGGAATACATTACTCCCCAAATGGGCTTAATATTTCAATCAACACTGTCTCCAAGTGCTTAACCAATTATCTCCCATAATTTGATTTTGTTTTCTTTAAAACTTGAGCAGACATGAGCACCTTTGAATCACTTCATGTAATATAAATAACTACACAGATTACAATCAATTTGGGCTATGTTACACATTTGGTTCTTTAAAATCTGAAGTACTAAGGTACTAAAATAAACACAACCCTTTCCAGCTTTAAAAATTTCTCAACCAAGCAAAAAGTATTTACCATTCTCCAAAGTAATCCAGAACACAAACCATATTGTTCACTAATGTACATTCAATCGGGGATGCAATGTTATCACTAATCTAACATGAAATGTAGGTGTGAAGAAGACCATTCTGTATCTGTACCAACTTTAAAACACTATCATCAGTTACTGACGAATATGTTTAAAATATGAACTGACCCACTAGCTACTCTACTAATCCTAGGGTTTTATTTTGCCTGGAATTCTCTAGGGTTTATTGAGAAAACAGCAAGTAAACAGCACATACGCAGAGGCACAGTTCTCCATCAAGAAAGTGTTCCACAAGAACATGCAAAAACCCACACTGAAAGTACCTCATGGGTAGATCTAAAGAAGGCAAAATATGATGAAAGTAGTAATGATGAAAGAAACACTAGGTGAATGTAGAGGCAGAAGTAATATGAAGAAAACAGAAATGTGCAGATTTACTTGTTCCAGTCAACAACAGTAACTAAAGTTTATTGATTTCAGTTTCAGCAGCTAAAAATCCATTCAAACATTTTTATATGATACAGACAACACTATCCCATATTCAAACTTTTATCAAAGTAATAATATAGGCTAGAATTTTCTCAGTCATTGTGATTTACTCATCAATTTGTACAATAAAACCTATTTTGAAATATATATATTACTAAGTGCAAATAGTTCTTTTAATCCAGTTCTAATTTGGCTGTTCCATTGTATGGAAATATCTAAGTAAAGAGAATGAAAAAATATAACCGTTAGCTACAAAAATAGCTGGACACATTCTCAGCCACTGTCTCTCAACTGTTCCCTTTATATCCACTATAAAACTATTTCCAACACACTAATCACATCTATTCGGAAGAAACTAAAATTATATGATTTCAAACTATTTTCATTAGAAAAACAGTTCTTTAACAACTGCATTTATTCTTCTACCTAATTATATACTCTTAAAGGCCAAATACTCAGTCAGCATAAAAAAATACCCATAGCCTTTTATTAAAGGATAAAGCACAAGATAAGAGTTCATAAGAAAAATAAAGATGCTCTTTGCTCTACCAGCAACACTGTCCAATACAGGACATTATATTTCATTTTAAATATCTTAAATACATATATGTCGAAGTCTTAGTACCTCCATATCAGAGACTTACTACAATTAAGTCTATTCATGTTACGATATTCCAGCATTGTAAGTTGCTGGACTAGCATAGCTAGTGTTTCCTTATAATATTTCATGTAACAGCCAAGATGTTAAAAAACTTCTACCTTTCTGAAAAGCTCTCCCCTAACTCAATACTAAGTAATGTGCACTTAAAGCTCCGCAGCCCTGCCAAGAAATCTTACCTATCTACATAGAGTATTATTGTGACCAACAGTCAAATAAAAAAGATTGAACTGATGAATATTTGATTCTGGTATCTCAGGACAGCATTACTCAAATTAGAGGACTAACACTACCTTTTGTTTCTTTTACCTATGCACCTGTTACACTTTGTATGCAAAAGCTGTTTATTAAATGCAAGCAAAAGCCTTATTTCCTGTTTCATAATGGTCATGGTCTGACCTTCTCCATATTCAGTGCACACTTCTACAAAAAAACAAAATCAATTTCAAGTACAAAGCAGCAGCTATCTAATCCACAAATCAAAACTACAGCAGTGTTCTGCTCTTCCTAAAACAATCTTGAAGCCATGATTATATTAAAGACACAGATATGAGGGGATTTTTCAACTTCCAAACAGATATGCAAACAAAGTGTTACAATCCAGGGGCACAGGTAAATCAATAAGCAAGCAAACTATGTGATGTTTGTGCAGCGTCCTCTCAAATCCTGCAATCCCTTCTAGAAAGTCTGGGTCTACATCTCCCTCTTCTTTACTCATGTTCTTCTCACATGGCTTGGTCTCAGAAACTTTCCATGCCTGTAACGGAAACTTGAGCCAACTTCTTAAATGTATGATTTCTTCATCTCCACTCATCATCCACTTCTGTTTCTGAGAAGCTCCTCATCATGACACCTGTATCTCAAGAAGCAAAACAGGAAACATCACAGGGATGAAGCAAGGAAAGATGAATAATAATATGCCTCTGTGTCTTTAATAAAATCCCAACTTTTCATTCAAGTTCCTTTTAGGAAATAAGAGTTCCTTTCACAAAAGCGAAGTTTTGCCAAACTAGGTACATAAATATGTGCCGAAATTGGGGTGACCAATGAAATCTCCTAATCTGCGCCTCTGTTCCTGACATGACGAGCAGGAAAAATCCTGTACCAGCTAGTCTCACATACTGTGGAAAACATCATCAGGTGCCAAGCTTGCAGAACTAGTCTGTGGCAGCCAGCTCAACTAAAAGAAACCACTGACCCATCTACTAACTTATCCGCTACTGAAAACAGTGTGAGTTATCTTTACTCAGGACCCGTTTATCCAAGTATGTAGAGCTCCAGCCCACAAACGAGATGGAAAACAAAGATGTAAGCCTCTCCTTTACTTTCCCATCGCTCCCTGACCTACCCAACTTCCACAATACACTTGCATTTTTACACACTTAACAGATACTGAAGATGCTTCCTCTGCATTACAGTAGCTGAACTACAAGGTGACAAAGGCCTAATGTATTTTCAATGTGTCTTTGTCCCTAAAATCACATCATAAAGCTTGGGGTTGGGGTGGAGGGGACTTGCATACCCGTTTTTGCCATCCAAAACTTAGGATCGAGCAGGCCCACAGCCAACTGCAGCACTGTTCAGAGTCTAATAACAAAAAGGCAGAGGGATGACTCATCCACAAAATGGAGACGCAGCCATCTTGCATCCAAACAGGCAGCCCAAGTCATTTGCCTGCCTCATGATTTTGCCCAAATGCTGAATGAGGGGGTGCAGCAGAAATTATTTCTGCACACTCCCCAGCCATCAAGCCCTCAGGCACCAAAAGCATCCTGCCAGCCAGCTCTCAGTGAGACAGAAGCATGAAAGCAATTTTATCTCTCCCATTTTAAAATAAACATTAGCACCAAAATCTCCTCCTAGCAGAGGCAGAGCAGATTCTACCTCTTATCAGCTACCCTCTCGAATTCTCAGAATTCCACCTCCCTCTGAAATCCTCCTTTCTTCTGCAATGCACTTGACAGCAGCGTGCTCCATACATAGGGCACACTTCACTCAGAAAGACAGCATAGTCCTTTCTTTGCCAACTCATCCCAGCAAAACAATGGTTTTGTTTCAGCTCTCTTACACTAGAAATGAGGGACAGCTGTAGAGACAGAGTCCTATCCGAGCACAAAGAGTCTTGGCTTTGGTTCTCGCACACTGCAATAGAGATGATAACTGAACCTTGGATGGTCAAAGCAAAAAACCCTCTGACAACACTCTGGGTGTTGCAGCAACAATAGCTGTTAAATAACTGGCCAGAAATGTATTTGCAGTGCAGGGATTATATGTCAAAGAAAAATACATATTCCCTCAATTCTGATCTCTTGAAGAAGTCCTTACCCCTAAAAGTGCTTAGTAGGCAAACAGTCCTGAAAACCTGTCCCTCAGTGATCATGCCTGCTGTTGAGAAACATGCTATTGCTTACTCAGGAAAGGCAACTACCACAGATTTACAGAGGACAAAAAGCCAAGGCAGCCACACATGTCCCATTAGAAGGACATCCAGAATATGTCCAGATACCACCCAATTACTTTATACCACTTAATCTTTTATTATGATAATCACTGTATGCAAGAAACAAAAACCACAATTTCACTGTTCCCTAATCATCATAACTCCATATTCTCTCAGAGCACCAGAAATTAACTGCAGACAAGTAGTTCAATTTATTATTGACATCCTTACTGGTTAAGCAGATGTCTACGCTCAGCATATGCACCATACAGATTACAAGACATCCCGGCTGCTCACTGCTGCATGCGGAAGGAGAACTGCGGAAAAAGATTATTTATTGTCAGAAAGATCTGACACCGGCTGTCACCTGAAACAACCAAGGAATTTCCAGTTTTCTTTTGAAGAGACAATTTACTGGCAGGCCGGTGGTTCTGACTTTGATCTTCGCAGCAGCCAACACCAGCAGAAGAATTTTGTAGCTCAGTAACAAAACACAGAAACCTCCCGGACTGTTAATTCAATTACAGTATTTTGGCAAGGAAGCCTTTCCCTTATACCTTGGGGAAAGTCTTCAGATTAAACAGTGCATGCTTTAAAGCCACATGCACCTCCGTTATTTGGTGTAACTGTTTATGCACCTCATCACTTTGAGAGAAAAAATATTCCACAGCAACTTGATTGGAAGACTTAGATTTTTCCTCATTTTCCAAGGTTGCATAACCGTATTGACTGTCCCATGTACAGAGACGTAATTTATAAGGCCATTTGCAACCTAATCTGACAGAAAAGGGTAGAGATTTCACAGGTGATCAATCCCTACAACAGGTTTATGGAATAAATAACCAAGGTAGCCCCCTGAGCCATGTGCCCAGTTCACAAACATCAGGGATACATCACGTTTTGATTAAATATACCCCAAGAACTACAAGGCAGTGAGAGGCTGCTCAGGCACTATGCTGCTGGAAAAATCAGGGATGCTAATGGCATTGGTTTGTAAAGAAAAAGAAGGGAGGATGCTTAAGGTATCACAGTGCCACCAAAACTGAGAAAGCTGCAGGAAACTCCTCCTCACTAGTTCAGCTGCTCACAGAGCTACTTTTCAACTTACTGAGCAGTACAGCAATACCTTCACAGCTTCCATCTTTAGGGGCTCCTGCTGACATGTTAGCAGCACTTCTCAGGATTCATTAAAGGCATTTGAACAACAGCTGTCCTCTTTTGCCAATAAAAACTGGAAAAGCAGACATAAACTGCCGTATAGGTGGCCTCAGAAAACCCTGAAAAAATAAAAATGCTTCTCAAACCCTTTCAACAAGATCCTCCCCAGGCAGGGTAAGCTAAGCACTGCCACAACAGGTCAGATCCCTGGTCCATCTGTTTGAGAATCGTGCCTCCTGTGATCGGGACCAGATGCTTCATAAGGTGGAACAGCACAAGTAGTGAACAATGATGCAATTCACCCAAAGGGGAAATTCCTTCCTAACCTCATCAATTAGCATGCAGGTTTAATATGCTTAATTTATTTTTAATCCTATTTACTGCAACTCTGGACATTGTCATTGTATATATATAAATGTCCTGGTCTGCTTGGAATCCAACTAAACTTTTGGCCTCAGTAATATCATGTGATATAATTATGCCAGGTTTCAAATGTTCCAATTTTCATTTAAACATCCCTTTGTTCTTGCACTATGGGAACTAACCCAGCTATTCACCACCTCTCTTACACTCCCAAGTGCTCCAGCTCGGCTTGTGTCATGAGCTCCCACGTCATACTGTGCTCTGTTACAGAGTGGGGACATAATCTGAGGGCCTTTAAGGCAACAATTTAGCATCTTCTATCAGTTATGCAGCAACATTTCTATAGGCTAGATTGCTGGGATCAACTGGCCCCTACCAGCTCTAACAACATTTCACATCTTCCAGGTCTTTCAAGCTCACTTTCCTGTTGTTTTCCACTCCAGAGCTGCCCTCCTTATAAGCAATCTGTTTCACCCTCTGTGGTTCTCTTTGAACCCCCCTGACAAATTTGGATACATTTAGTTATAAAAGAACAGAGAAGAAGCATACCATGCTGGGCTTTTCAAGGTCACACAGGGAACCTCTCCCTCAGAGCAAAGAATTCTCCTCCTATCTCCATGCCTGAATAAAGAACAACAGTGTCCAACCAAGCAAAACCAATCCCATTTTGCCCTGGGCTGCTGTTCTTATGAACTGCAGGTTCCTCAGTGCAATAGTAACTTTATCCTGTTTTGTTACTTCGGGATGAGCTCACAATGTATTCACTGTGATTATAATGTCAAGTACTCCAGTGCAACTGGTCACACATTTCTGCTCACACAAAGCTGCAAAAGGCGTCAAGGTATAAAGCCACACCTTCATTCAACCAAATATCAGTGAAAAAAAAATAATATATATATATATATACACATATATAATGGTGTATGCAAGCAACAGACAAGGAAGGGAGACTTACGGCAAACTTGAGGTTTAGGACCTTCTCATGTCCACAAAACATAGTTCTGCTTTCAGTAACTCTTTGGGCTAAATTTTCTTCTTCCAGCCTCTGGAGCTAAAACTTTGGACCCCAGGCCACAGGTTCTTAATACCAAAGTCTTTAGGAGAGAAAGAGTAGGTAGGTCTAGATGATATCTCATGGGAAGATGGCCCCCCAAGGAGATGACAGAGCTTTTACAATATCTGTAAGAAACACCACATAGCCATCACTATTTTGCCGTAAGTTTTTTGATTACAGACTTGGAACTGGTGAATTAGGACAAGAGAATACTTCTTTGCCTCAACCAAAAAGAAAATTACACCACTTCATCCTTCTTTAGAAGGATCTTTAGGCAAGCAATCGATCAAGGGAAAACTCCTGTTTTGGCCTATGGTCCATAAACAAATGGTGCTCTTTAATGATCAAAATAGCACTAATAGAACTGGTAATAAGCACCATGTTGCCAACTGTTAGCTCATTAAGTAATATGACCATATGCAACTCTTTTCTCTGTTTGAGGATCATATACTGATTAGAGTCAAAAAATCACACTCCTAATAGCAACTTGATTGTCTCATTGCACACTTCTCAATGACCTCCCATGCTGTTCAATACCTCTGCAGCAGTCTTAGAAACTTTGTTCCAGAGCGATAATCTTAACACTTTCTAAGGGGACATAAATGATTTCCTGTTATATCTCACATGTGCAAAGACGACATACTGAACTTCGTACTCCTACTTATTGCTCTTAGGCAATGCTCAAACAGCATTCCAAGCCACAAGTATCAGAGGACTGCTATACCAGCATCTCCAGTACCTCTGATCAGCCAGCAAGTGGTTTGCCTTTGGCATTTCAGGATTTGCTGAGGTTGAAAGAGAAGACAGTAATGATACAGAACAATTCCCCCATCAGCAATGGCAA